TTTATAGACCACTAGCTGGCTTACCCGGCTCCGCCGTATCCGGACCAAACTTGGCACACATACACTTCGGGCCCCGGCGGGTGTCACAGTCCACTTTTCGTTATCGATCGATGTCGATTTTACCGATTTTTATCGATTTTTTCGCAGAGTTCACCTACAGGGCTAGGAGTTGGCACAGAGGGGGAAGTGAGCATGGGGATTCCGAATACTATATTAGTTTTCAGAATTATCGGTTACTTTTATTGATTTTATCGATTTTTTGTAAATTTTGACATGCGAGGCTGGGATTTTGCACAGGGGGATAATCGAGCATGCTGATTACGAATACAATATTAGTTTTCAAGATCGTCCATTACTTTTATCGATTTTATCGATTTTTGAAAATTTGAGCTAGGGGACTGGAATTTGGCACAGGGGTGTAATCGAGCATGCTGATCACCCCCCTTGGAGATGATCAGCATGCTCGATTACCCCCCTGCGCCAACTCCCAGCCCCCTAGCTCAAACTTTGCAAAAAATCGATAAAATCGATAAAAGTAATCGATAATCCCGAAAACCAATATTGTATTCGGAATCCCCATGCTCGATTACCCCCCTGTGCGAACTCCCAGCCCCCTAGCTCAAACTTTGCAAAAAAATTGATAAAATCGATAAAAATAATCGATAATCCTGAAAACCAATATTGTATTCGGAATCCCCATGCTCGATTACCCCCCTGTGCCAACTCCCAGCCCCGTAGCTCAAACTTTGCAAAAAAATCGATAAAATCGATAAAAGTAATCGATATTCCTGAAAACCAATATTGTATTCGGAATCCCCATGCTCGATTACCCCCCTGTGCCAACTCCCAGCCCCGTAGATGAACTCAGCAAAAAAGTCGATAAAAATCGATAAAATCGATATCGATCGATGACGAAAAGTAGCCTATGACACCCGCCGGGGCCCGAAGTGTATGTGTACCAAGTTTGGTCCGGATCGGTTCAGAAATGGAATTTTCTATTCGGAACATACGTACATACATACATACAGACAGACATACAAACAGACATTCAGCTTTATATATAAGATTCAATAGGGCTTGAAGTGCTGTTTCGAACAGTTTGCTGTTTACTTAAACTTCGCGTTATAGCAGCGCAACCTTCAGAAATGTCCAAAAAGTTTGTAGAGTTCTCTGAAGCGCCATTTCAAGGAATTAGAGGAGAGTGCGTCTCCAGAATGATGGGTAAGTCGATAGACTTTATACATGGTTCAGTTGCTGCCTGATTATTCAAGATTTGTTGTGGAACGCGTTGAGTCGTTGACGATTTATTAGAAAAACACAAAAGTTCCCCCTTTGCCTATCGGCGTACATGCCGAGGGTTCACTAGGAATAGCTCAAGAACAACACACAAATATATCAAAGGTGCGGCGGGTACGCCGCAACCACAGAGACCATATCGACCTAGCCTATAGTGAGCGAGCAAGTTCCAATATAAGGGACGGCTCTACAACACCTCCCTCCTAAGATGAACGACGGTACATCTTACAAAAAGGATCTACTTGTAGATGTTCTGGTGGGCGACAATGGCGACTTGGTCTGGTTGATGTCGGTGGCGTAGACGAGGTGGCTTGGTGTTCAGCAGAATCCATACCATTGTTACGTCGGCCTTCGTCGGAGATGGACTGTGTTGAGTCATGATGTCGGTCCATACTTGCGGCGCGGCGCATCTGGTTCGCATGTCGTCTCCATAGCTGACCGTCTTCCGTAAGCACGCCATATAAAGCTTCTCCATAGCGTTTCTTCACTCGAGCTGGAATCCATTTTTCACATCCAGAGCGAAAATCACGTACCCACACGGCTTCTTGTGGCTGGTACGATTTTTTTCGTGCTCCGTGACGGCGGTTGAACTGCTTCTCCATAGATTTATTGCCCATTCCTTCTTCTTTGGAGTCTTCATTCAGCAGCGACAGTGGTGTCCTTATCTGACGTCCCAAAAGCAGCTCGGTAGGCGAACGTTCTCCTAGAGCAGTTGTACAAGGCGTTCGTCGATAAGACTGCAGAAACTCCGCGAGCTTCTCTGCCGTTCCTCCCTTCTTAATTTTCTGGAAAGTCCTTTTGAAGATATCCACAAACCTCTCCGCTTGTCCATTTGATTGCGGATGGAATGGTGGTGCACGTATATGCTTGATTCCTCTCTCTTTACAAAAGTCTTGAAACTCCCTTGCTGTGAAGTGAGTCCCATTATCCGACACGATCACTTGTGGATTTCCAAATCGAGCGAATAGAGATTTGAGTTCTCTCAGGGTAGCTGTAGTTGACGATGAAGGCATCTCAAATACTTCTGGCCATTTCGAGTAAGCGTCAACTACGACGAGGTACATCTTACCATTCAGCGGCCATGCGTAGTCAATGTGAAGTCGATTCCATGGTTTGTCTTCTACTTTCCATGAATGCAGCAACGTCTTCACTGGCATTTTGGAGGCTTCTTGACAATCCCTACAGCGCGCACTGAATCCTTGATGTCTCTGTTGATGCCCTTACTCTTCCTGCACTTTCCTAGGTCGCTGTTGAAGACGTTTCCATACTTATTCTTTAAGTCGGCGACCACTTCGGCTCGGATTTTCTCTTTGCTAGTCACCTTTCTACAATAGAAGTTGCCCTTCAGCTTTTTGTATGCCGGCAGCTGGATGCACCATTCCAGTCCTAGTAGATTCGAGCCTTCAGTGACGTAGCATGTGCCATTTCCATGAAGCATCTTCCCTGTAACTCGATCTCTGACGGAAAAGTCGGTTGAGAATTTACCATATATCTTCATCGACGTCCCGCCTGCAGTTTCCACAGGCATCACACAGGGTTCCAAAGCCGGGGATCCCATTCTCTTCCAAGCTCTGCGTGATATCAGCGTTATATCTGCACCTGTGTCCAGCTGAAGTTTGAGATTACATCCTCTAACTACGACGTCAAGGTAGGTCCGCGCGCTCTCGGCGTCGAAAGCGACCACATGTTTGCACTGTCTTCTGCGGCCAAACTGCGCTCCTGCCCTCCACCGCTTCTTCCGACCAGTGTTGTCGGCTTGTGGACAGTCTCTTCTGAAATGTGGTCCTCCGCACGTAAAACAAGTTACCTCCTTTTTCTTCCACACTGCATGGATGTCGCGCGTGCTTTCCATGTCCGTGTTATCCATTTTCATAGCAGTGAAATTCTCACATTCCGCGACTAGGTCCTCGATTGTCAACGGTGCTTCGTCCGTGCGAGCTTCCAGTCGACGAATCATCCGAAGGCGAACTTCCCTAAGCGAGGGATCTTGAAGACCTGCTACGAACTGCAGCGTCTTCATCGCCGTGTAGTCGACCTCCTTAAGCCGGGCGTCTTCGTCCATCCGCTTGATAGTGTTGGCGTACTCGCGGAACGGTACGTACGCTGGAGTAAGCGGAGGGCAGGTTATCCTTAGGCACTCATACCGTCTCCTGATGAGCGTCTTCTTGGAGGCGAACAGCTTCTGGAGATTCGCGACGGTGGTGTCGAAGTCCAAGTCGCTCGGTTGCGCAGGCAAGACCTCATCAGCATACTTCCGGTATGCTTCTTCATCCAGCTTCATTAGGATTAAGTCGCGCTTCTTTTGATCCGAAAGCTGGGAGTCGCGTATAACCGGTCCGTACCTGCCATACCAGTACGCAAAGGTGTTACCTGTCTCTTCGTCTGAGACGAACCTTTGCACGTCCTTACTCAGCTGATCGTACTGATCCTTGCTGGTGTCCTGGACGGCTCCCTGACTACTGACCAGGGTGGAGATCAGCGTCCTCATTTGCTCTTGCTGAGCTTGCAGCTGCATCTGCACTTGTTCCTGCTGGGCTTGTAGTCGAGCTTGCATTTGTTCCTGTTAAAGCTGCATATGCAGCTTCATCTCCTCCTGTTGGAGCCGCATCTGGTCGACCATGACTGATAGGACCTTCTCTAAGGAGTCGTGACCATGCCGTTCTTCACTGGCTTTCGGCATGGTGGACCCTCTCCTCAACGACTTCTTCTGTTGAATCGATAATCTTCTTAGCAGAGCTTACTTGTTTGGCTGTCCTCGACCTGTGACAGCTTCCTCCCCGATCCGGCTGCAGCAATTCTTCTTGTCCTTGATTGGTGGAGGCTTCTGGTCCTTGGTCCCTGCAGCTTCTTCTGGTCCTTGGTCGGTGGAGGCTTCTTCTTGTCCTTGATCCTGATCGCCAGTTGTTGTGGAACGCGTTGAGTCGTTGACGATTTATTAGAAAAACACAAAAGTTCCCCCTTTGCCTATCGGCGTACATGCCGAGGGTTCACTAGGAATAGCTCAAGAACAACACACAAATATATCAAAGGTGCGGCGGGTACGCCGCAACCACAGAGACCATATCGACCTAGCCTATAGTGAGCGAGCAAGTTCCAATATAAGGGACGGCTCTACAACAAGATTAAAGCAGAAAGTTTCAAATCAAAAAAAATCAAGCTGTCCCATTATTTTCCGATCACACTAACAAGAACTAAGGTTATAGCTCTAAATGTCGCACATCTTGACTGTTAGCAAGGTCTGATGGGACCCTAAAACTCATTCGGATTTCCCATTTTGACGCTAAGACTCACACAACCTGTCCGAGAATTTGAGGAGGGATGACTGCGCTAGCCGCGCTCTCCGGAATATTTTTTTGTATGCTACAACAGTTTTTATGGGCTAATGCGGAGTTTTTAAGGCGCTAATCAAAATATTCAAGAAATTTGAACAACTATTCTCAATGTTCACAAGCAGAAACAAGTCACTTGCACATTTCCCTGACTCATATAAATCACTTGCGAATTTCAGAGACTTATTCCATAAGAAGGGACGGCACGCCGCTACTACCTCAGTCCGCCACTGGCAGGCTTAGTTCTAAGCCAATTTTCAAATATTTGGGATTTTCTGGATTAAAAAGGTTCTCTAGTGAAAATGAAATGTTACTTGTTGTTTATGTTTCACGACTTTTTGTAGACTAGACACCTGGACACATGAGAAGCAATCTGTCGATCCCAGGTATTCTATTGAAAGAAAATAAATTTTGAAGGAATAACCCAAGGAAAAATTTTGCGGGGGCAAACTTTGGCGGCATAGGAACTGAGAATCACTGCATCTCATCATTATGGCTATAACAAGTGATTAAGAATTGCTAACTTCAAAATCTTCGTTTAGAAACTTTTCACATTTAGGATCTCCAACACTTCGTAACAAAGTCATCGGCAAAGTATCTTCCCTCGAGAAGCCATAAGATTTACCTTAAGTTACAGATAATCATTGACAATGACTGAAGTAAACATCATTGCTCACCAGCTTTAGCATTATGTATACACGTCGTACCATGAGACTGACATCTCGCTGTATTGATGAATCTTGGAGAGCAGTTGGAGCTGACTACGTATACGCGCTGGCACTCTGACAATGCAAAACTTATCAATATCAAGTAGACAGTAAGAAACCATAGTACGTGTGCATAGTCGAAGTCCGCCTCCGACTAGCTCGCCCGCCGCTTTGCATTCTTCGTTCCTCATAGCTCAAAACAATCTTGACAATAATGACATGTTAAATGTGATAAAGTTGAAAAAAAAACTTAGTCTGCATTTTCCTTTCCCAGAAATGACATGATCGTGAGGATGGTGTTCATGCTCGTCTCTCCTAGATCTCCTCGATTCAGACTGATCATAGAAGGGAACAGAACAATAAGCAGCCATCTCAAACAACTTTTCAAAAGGACATCAGCCTATACCAGTGCTTGTTGATCGTCACTGAGCCATTCTTCATGTGCTATAGGAGCCTGTAGTTTTTCCAAAAGAGTTCGACATACAGTGCTGCGGCAAACTCGCTCAGTTCTCCCGTTTTTGATGAGGACGTCTTCATAGTCAGGATATGGCTTAAATTTTTTTTGCGTCAGTGTCACGAGCGTAGATGTAAAATGCTCACTTTGTCTCCATATCGCAGTTTCTTGAACACAGGGGCAAAATTTAGGGCTGCCTCCTCAGGTGTCTAAATTTCGTTGATTACGTTTGCAAGTTTGAGATAACAGAGGAGAAGAGAGAACCAAGAACAAATAAGTCACATATGCTTCACCAAAAACAATTTTTCTCATCTCACTGAGTTCTTTAACCTTGAAGATCACAAATGGAACTTGCGGAAATCATCATCATGATTACAATATTAAACTTCGGAAACAGTAGCAGTTTTTTGGTTTAATGAATTTTCTCACTTTCTCCCAAACCCAAAAACTTGCCAAGCAAGAGTCAGTTGGGGGAGTTTTTTTTGAAAGTGATGGCCGCTTGAAAAATTTCGTTGATATTCATGTCTCGCCACATGCCCAATGGGAACACAAGAAAGTTAGCATGATATTTGCGATCAAGTCAGTCATAAGATAAGTCATCAGATGACTAATCTGATTTCTTTTTTGTATTTTCAATGACTTGGCAAATTGTGAAGGTTTGAGAAAATGGTTTTCCTGTATGTTCCTATATGTCAGGATACAGGAAGTATTGTTGTCCGGAAATTAATGCAGGTTTTGATTCTAACTGCAATAAGTCATACGTTTCTCATTTCTAAATAGGTTGCAAAGTTCCATCAAAAAGAGCAAAAAAAGCTCTACAAGAAGCCATCTTGCTTTCACAAGAGCTTTCATTCACCTCGAGTTCTGAGAAGAAAAACAACTGCTTCAAAAATTGAGAAAAATCGTAACTTAGTTCAAAAAAATTCTGCAAAAATTCTTACTTACTTATATAAATTATCCACATAAGACGTCTATATGCGCCGTTACCGTATTTTCTCTGCTAGAAATCAAGAAAAATGTACATTTGCCTAAGTGACGCTGTGCAGTCCCCACGTAAGTAGTTGTATGCTGCAAATCTGTAAAAGTACAAACGTAAGTTTTCAGCTCTCTACAAGTTTTGATTCTCGAGAAATATCGAATACAGCTTCTTCTGATCAGGTGGTCCAGGCTGAAATTCAAATTTCTCGAGAACCAAAGCCTGTAGAGAGCTGAAAGTTTACGTTTGTACTTCTACAAGTTTGTAATATACAACTCTTTTGTGGGGGCGGTACAGCATCATTGGCAAATGCACAAAAACTTCCGTTTTCTTGATTTCTGAAAGGTAAAAAAGACATCTACTTATAGATATCTTGTGTGGATAGTGTTTACGTGAGCTAGCTAGAATTTTTGTAGTATTTTTACGGACTGAGTTACTGTCCAAATTCGACTCTCGATTAATCTCGGCATGCTGCAAATGCTTGTTGCGGCTTGTTTAGCTGGACTGAGTTACGATTTTTCTCAATTTTTTGGGCAGCTAAATCTTTTTAGTTTTTGGCTCGAAACTCAAGGTTAATGAGACTGCTGCAAAAACAAGATCCATTTTGTAGAGCTTGCTCTGCTCTATCGAATATTACCTTGCAGCCTATTCAAAAGTGAGAAGTGTATGACTTATTGTGGTTGAAATTCAAAACCTGCATTAATTTTTGGACAACCTAATAGCCAAGCAAGGATTCTAAAAAAACCGTTATACACTTTACGAATTTTGTAATTAACTTGTAGTTTACCTTCAGTATCCAAGCAGAAATAGTTACAGTTAGATATATTTGAACGTGCGTAGCTTTTATCTGAAGTTTATAATCATAGTTTCTCTTAATTAACTTATTGACAGAATTTTCTTCCATATTATGAATAAGTATGATCATCCATATATTAGGTCGTTCCGAAAGTTCTTTCCGTTTTTTCAACCTATCATAAAAAGACGTGGAATGAAGATAGGGAAACGCTTTCGGCACTATACGACGCAGCTTTTCTTCCTCTTTTTAGCAATCATACTCCCACGTCGCTTACTCTTGTGATCACTGAGATGATGGCCGAAATTTCGAACCCATGGTTTTTGCCATGTCCAACTTTGGCAATTTTTCACAATCTTCTTTTTTGACTTTTGGAAAAGCTTTGATAACAGCCAGATAGAGTAAACAAAGTGCAATACAATGCAATTTTTTCGCTTATCCAGCTGGCCTTTCAGTGTTTTTTGAGATAATTTTTCCAAAAGTCTTCACTTTTGCAAAGTCCCAAAATACAGAAACGCCCGAACACCGGCAGATTTACGGATTTTGAAGCTTTTAAAAGTCAGTTACGATTATACACAATTTGTAGAAAGCAAATGAGCGTTTACCGCTTGGAAATACAAGGTTTTGCATTTTACGTGTTTAGGCTGGGGCCGGTTCAAAATCAAGAATTATGGGAACTTTATCGCCAAAGGCCCCATAAATTGGGGAGAAATTATATTCATTAGAAAGAGAAGGAAAATGTGCATCGATTGGTACCTTAATTGTGCGCCGTCTTATGTTCTATGGCTCTTGGCATCCTCAAAAATGGAATTTGATAGCATTAGGAAAATAATTCTAGAAAATTTTTGAAGTTAGCTAACAACCCCGAAAAATTGCATTGAATTGCACTTTGTTTACTCTATCTGCCTGTTATCAAAGCTTTCCCAAAAGTCAAAAAAGAAGATTGTGAAAAATTGCTAAAGTTGGACATGGTAAAAACCATGGGCTTGAAATTTCGGCCATTACCTCAGTGATCACAAGAGTAAGCGACATATGAGTATGACTGCTAGAAAGAGGAAGAAAAGCTGCGTCGTATAGTGCCGAAAGCGTTTCCCTATCTTCATTCCACGTCTTTTTATGATAGGTTGAAAAAACGGAAAGAACTTTCGGAACGACCTAATATCAGTGGCGGTCCGAGAAATTTTTTTCGGGGGGGGGGGCGCGACAAAAATTAATTTCTAAAAAAGGTGCGTGGCGTCAGCCACGCACTCCGAAAAAATTTTTGGGGTGCTTCTCAAAATTTTTGCGGGTCCCCGACCCCTAAAATCTGGAAAAAGGGGGCGTGGCGTCAGCCACGCCCCCGAAAAAAATTTTTTTATAAGGCTAAAATGAATTTTTAGAAAATTTTAAAAATTATTTTAATTATTTTCAAGTGCAAACAAGTCCTTTGCACATTTTTACAACCCATATAGGTAAGTTTCAAAAATTTCGCGACCCATTCTCGGGGGGGGGCGCGCGCCCCCCCCGCCCCCCCCTCGGTCCGCCACTGCCATATATCTATAAGGAATTACTTGGTACAGGCACCATCGCGGGCGCTGTCTGCGGCTCTCAAAACACTCAGTGAAATACCTCCAAGATTATCGTTCAAAAACTTACTCATGTTTTCAGTGATTGCTTTGTAGTCATACACAACACTATGCCGAATGAAGCCCTAAGCGGACTGCAGAGCGCATGCATTGAGACTTTATCGACTCCACTTCTTTAATCTCTCATAACTCCCGCTGGGGCTATGCTCACCAGATAAAGGCAAATTTGGATTTAGCTCATCAAGATTCATCTAATAACATTTCAATTCGTCACTGCGACTTGCAATCAAAAAAGATTGCTATGAAAGTAGGGAGTGATAATACATGGAAATATTAGGTTGGTCCAAAAGTTCTTGCGCATCATTTTCGAAAAATCATAACTTTCTTGCCACTATGGATTTCATTGAAATTATATCTATTCGAAAGAAAAATCTATGCTCTTTACAGCTTTTTTTTCGCCATGAATTTTATGAGAAAATTCGAGAGTTACAAGCAATTGAAGGAAATCAGTTAAAATTAGCATTTTTCGAGCTGGGTCACGAAAAATTCTGGAAGTATTTTTATATGATAGAGAAAATTATGCTCATTAAAATGGCGCATTTCTCATGAGTTGAAACGAAAAAGATCGAGAGTTAGGAGCAAATAAAGAGAATTCCTTTAGTTTTGTAATTTTTGGGCATGGTCAAAAAAGCCCAGAAACGTCACAGAAAATACGGAAAAGTTATGAATGTGGGTTTTTTTTTACCTTCTCTTTTTAGCTGATCAAGTTTCGAGCTAATAGAGAGTAATTTGGTTTTTCGTGATTTTTTCGGATATTCGGGCCTGCATTTTTCACGAAAATCAAAATTGCTCTCGATCAGCACGATTTCCGCTCAGCTAGAAAGAGAAGGTCACAAAACCTACGTTCATGGCTTTTCCGTATTTTCTATGACGTTTCTGGGCTTTTTTGACCATGCTCAAAAATTACAAAACTGAAAAAATTCTCTTTATTTGCTGCTAATTCTCGATCTTTTTCGTTTCAACTCATGAGAAATGCGCCATTGTAATGAGCATAATTTTCTCTATCATATAAAAATACTTCCATAATTTTTCGTGACCCAGCTCGAAAAATGCCAATTTTGACTAATTTCCTTCAATTGCTTGTAATTCTCGAAGTTTCTCAAAGTAATTCATGGCGGAAAAACAGCTGTAAAGTGCATGGATTCCTCTTTCGAAAAGATATAATTTCAATGAAATCCATCGAGTGTCAAGGGATTTATGATTTTTTGAAAATGATGCGCAAGAACTTTCGGACCAACCTAATACATTCGTTTTTGCTTCAGTTTATAAGAAAAATGCATCTAATGATATTTGTAATAGAATTTTTGGTAATATTCAAAAGCATTAGAGGCACCGTCCACCCAGGGGGCTGGCGAGATTGTGATGTGATTTCATATGATGGGGGTACGAGCAAGTTTCAATCAGGCAGTCTCCTGGTGCCACAGCCAACCGCCAGAGCCGGCGCCAACGCCGCAGGTGGGCTACAGTAAACGTATTGTTGTCGTACACGACCTCTTGTCGGGGAATCTTCAGGACGGCCTATCACCTCACAAGGGAAGGATACCAACATTAGCTGGCAACTGAAGATGAGATGTATATCATTAGATGCGCCTTTAACGCTGATTCCAAATCTGCTCGCCTTTCTTGCGGAATAAGTTTCCGAAAGAAGTTACGAGCATTTGAATGTCCAGATTTGCCACGTATTGAGTGGCTTAAAATCAGCGCAAAGCTCTAAAACAACGCCTATGCGATTTCCACCTTGGCTTTGTTCCTTCCTTGCAAACAATATACTCGATACAAAGTTTGAGTTTCCACTTTCCGGTGTTGCACAACTTT